CTGACCAGCCTGATTTTCCATCATCACTTTTTTTTTGTTGTGACCTGTGTGAGAATGTGTGTGTTGGTGTGAAAGAGTTGGCTGCCTGTTGGTGTCACCTCAGGGCTGGGGACTGGCTAAAGGTTCATGGATAAGGCTTGTCTTTTGCTATATAAACAGTATTTTCAGCAATCTTCATATAGAGACCAAAACTGACAGTGAACTGCCTCTACTCATCGTTAATGTCTGTCAATGTGTCAGTCCTAGATTATCTTATTAGTCTGTGACAAAGACCTCTGTTGTTGTGCATAGACAATTAAAAGCACATAAACAATTAAAAACCCCACACCTGATCATAAGGAGTTAGCGAAATGTAAACAAAGCAGAGAACTTGCACAAAATGTCATGCACGCAATTGACTCTAGCTTGTTCTAACTTTGGGAAATTATGGCTGCTTGGAGTCTTTGAGGCAACATAGTCAGGTCTGGGGTTTCTAATGAAAAACAGTGTCACTCAGTGCAGTGGTGTGCTTCCCTTGTTTGTTTTTGAAAACTGGAGGTCTATCACACAGACAAGCAAGCTAATCCTTGACTGACAGCTGACAGATGCTAACCCTGAGTAGAGGCAATTCACTGTCAGTTCTAGTCTTTATATGTGGAGTATTAAAATGCTGTTTATATAAAAAAAATGGCTGGCCAGGTTTCCTCTCAGCAGGAGGGCGTCCTTCTCTCTGTGAGGAGGAGCCATGTTTACAGCTTACGGTCTGATGTGTTTATTTTAATCACCGTGGCTCTTCTGCTACTGAGGCCCTCTGCTGTGCTGACCTTGCAGCCTCATACTTGCTATGCGCAGAGTGGCGTGTTTTAGGCCTGGAGATATAGCTAAATAAATATATGGTAAAATAATAAGCAATGTGAGGACATACAGTTTTTCTGACAAGTGTATGAAAATATATAATGTAACAGTGCTAGGGTAGCAACACTGAGTTAATGCACAGTGGCAATACACAGAAACTTTTGTCTGTCTAGGTCCGAAACATTGCCTTTAACTGTGTTTAGATCCACACAGTCTGTTTCCCATAGGTCAGTATTGGGCCCTAGGATACAAATCAGTGATTTGTAATTGATTTAAAAACAGTAAAACTGTTAAAATAAAATACAGCACATTTCCTGAAGGAATGGCTCTCTCTGTACAGATCCAGAGATTTCTGGCTGTGCATGGCAGTTATGTGATGAATATTTATGTTAAGCAGTGAATATAATAGTGTGAGCCCAGAATAGTGAATGTCTCTGAAGGCTGGACGAAGGTTGCTAAGGGCAACAGCAGAAATTAAATCAAAATAAGATTCTCATGCACCATATTAAATCATGCACAGCACTTTGCTTTGTGTTTCTTGGACCATGTTCATCTAAACAGGACATCTTTAAAGGGAGGAATTAAGTAACAGCCAACCATACCCATATCCAAATATTTACATTTTGTGATGGGCGTGAAAGTCTGAAGGGATGTGCTGGCCACAGAGGCTGACTGATGGGAAAAGCGATTCTGTATCTGCACCCTGCTCGTCTTTTCTCAGACCTCACTCCTTCTGGATCTCTGTTCCCCTTTCTTCATGCTTCCTATCTTCCTCTTGGTCCTGAGCCTCTGGTTGTCTCATTGCTAACCTATTGCTCATCTGCGCACATAAGCACGCACACCCACACACCCACACACACACACACCGAGTGGAAAAAGAGGAGGAGATTACCTTTAAAGTGTCCTGGTGATGTGTATCCCCTTTTTAAGCTGTGACATCTGAAGGTGTTTCACATCTAAGCTATAATTATCTGTGCAAATATGTGGAAAACTGTGAGGCAACACATATCAGGCTGACCATCCGGTCCAGTCGGCAGGCAGACGGCAGTCCCACTTTTACACTAATGACTTAATAGGCCCCTTAATGACCAAATAGCCTGCTGCCATCCAGAAGCACTTAGACAATTATGTGCTGGCCAGAGCCCTACAGCCTGATGGTGAGATGGAGGGAGGTAGAGAGGCTGAGAAAACAGGGGCACTGTACACTTGACAACTGAATAAACTGCTATTTCTTTTACCTGATTTTACAAGAAGAAATGAGAGGTAAAAGGACAAAAATGTAAAGCTGTAATTGAGTTTGATAGCAGAGAGCAGACAAGAATTAATGCGAAAGTAACGCAATATTTCACTGGAGTGCCACAGTTGTAGAGCTTTTTCAACTGGAAC